GGGTTTAATATTTTTCCTAGAACTTTTTTTTTTTTTTTTTTTTTTTTTTTTTTTTTTTTTTTTTTTTTTACAAAAAAAAAAAAAAAAAAAAAAAAAAAGAGAGCACCCCACAAACAGAAAACAGTAACAAAACCAAAGCAAAATTACAGAACTTTGATTTTTCACCATTACTGAGGCTGATCATAAAAATCAGAACAAATCACCACGCATGGCATCTATGGTCTAAACATAACGGCAGCACTGTGACAGAGAGAAAAATTGCCATCTTTACCTCCTTGCATTAGTCCTAACCCCAGCAGAGCCTGGCACAAGTTAGACAGCCCATCCCAGAGCAGCTCAGCAGAAGTCTGTCCTGGTGAGTCCTGGCAAGATGTCACATGAGGCCAGATTGCAGATAAAGAGGCACTCATCCCCTGATGCTTTCAAGTGGGAGGTAAGGAGCTAAATCCCTCTAAGAAATTGGCCTGTCATGCCTGAATGCTGTACAAAGCAATTTCTGCTCCTGGTACTTAACATTTAAAGGAAAGAGTTCCCCTAAACCCCTCTACCTGTTCTAATATCTTGCAGCTAGGATCAGAACCTGCCGCCAGGCTCTTTCAAAACGTTATTGCTCTCCTTCCAGGCTGTGTTCTGAGGCAGCCTTGGTGCAGACTGTTTCCACCTTGGGGACTTGCAAACTCCCACACCAGTTTCTCCACGGCCAGAACCAGCTTGAATCTGGCAGGGAAGTCACTTGCTTTCTCTCTTTTTCTCTGCAACCACTAAGTCGAAGGAACATGTTGGGGAGGGAGAGGGAATGCATCCCAAGCCAAGGGGACCCTTTTCTCTGCTTTCAGCAAAAATAATAAGGCCAGACTTTTCCCCAGTCTCCCTTTTATAACCTCTGACTTTCTGTGCAGGAAATGGTTCTTCCTAGTCTGGACATTATTAAATGCACAAATACTGCTGCCTCGGGTTTTTGAACGGAGAAAGGCATCCAGCTTTCCCACCCAGAAATCTTTTACTAACTTTCCTTGGAGGCTGCTGCTTTGCCCAAAGCAAAGGCTTGCAGAGCGCAGCCAGGATGGGAGAGGATGGGAGAAAGGGAATGGGGCAGGGAGAGCAAAAGAAAAAAACTGATTGCAGGACAGGGTGCGAGGAGTTCAGGGGGCAGATTTGCGAGAGGTGTGTTCTCCTCTGCCCTCCCACCCGCTGCTGTGCTGTCCTGCTGAGGTCAGGCTGCTGAACGGAACACGCAGAGAAGAGACTGGGACAGTATAGAAGACATTATTTAATAGCTCATCTTAAATAACATGACAATGTCAACATGTCAAAGGTGGCACAGAATATCTTGTTGTGTTTTGCCATTTATCCAGTGCATATGTTTGGAAAATAGAAACAAATACTGTCCCATCAGGACCTTCAGTATATAATCAAGGTTTAGACTTACTTTTTTAAGAAACAGCTTGACATTGAAATAGAGGTGCAAAAGCAACATGATATATAAACAAAACAGGTTTTAAATAAGTTTCTAAGCGTGTTCTCTACTGAAAGCTATTTTTTAAAATTCAGTTTTTCATCTATAAATACATAGTACAAAAATGCAAGTTTACAAGCCATTTTTCCCAGTAGAGTTATGCCATTTGAAGTTTTAAGTAGCAACATTCCTCCAATATAAGATGCATACATTTAAGAGCAATAATATTAAGTATTTACATATAAAGTTATGAAGTATTTGAGGATATAAATTAGTAACAACACAGAGACAAAAATACATGTACTGTGAAATAAATAATTCAACAGCTTTACATATGAAAGTATCTATAATATTATACAAACAAAATCTACAAGATTGTAGGACTTGATCTTGCAGTTGCTCATATCTGTCACTTGAGAATCTGAGTAATCCCAGTGCAGTAAACAAGCTACTTTACGGAGTTACTCATATGCAGAAAATGAGGGGCACAAAACTACCTTATCGAAATGTCTCCTGACAACTAAAATGTCTCCTGACTAGGTGAGGCCCCATAGAAGACTTGATGTGAATGAACGTGTTTAGTTTTATTCTTGTGAGTTGAGATACTGCTGGCATTCAGGGTCTCCTTTCGTTTCCGGAGATCCAGGAATTCTTCTTCCATTTTTTGGATAGACACACCAGCATCCAGCAGACTCTCCATCCAGTGAAGTTTCACACTAGAATATTATTAGCAGAACAAACCCCACAATAAGTAACTGTAAGCAGAAGATTACCTAGGAGATACTGCAGGCAGAGCTCTCAGACAGAAATAGGATCAGAAGGTGGGGACCTGACAGGCACAGACTTGTTCTGAATGCGGTGGTCCTGGCTCTGAGAGAGCCCCCGAGGAACTTGTTTGGTTAGGGAGCCATGCCCCAAGCTCAGCTACCACAGCAACTTCAGATTTAAAGCAGTTTTTCCACTCCTTGGTGAACAGCAGCATAAACCAGCAACATCTTCCAGCATGAGAAACCCAAGGAAGGCAGAACATACAAGCTGGTAGGGTGAGAGCAATGACTGGATAGTCTGGCTCTTCACACAAAGAGGCAAATAGGGTGTGTTTTTTCTTCGGGAGGGGGTTAAACAGATTTCCGTTTGTGCCTGATTAGATCCCAGGTGACAATGTTTGTGAGTCACACAGTGGTGCCATGCCCAAAAACAAGGAGTCTCGGTGACACAGATTTATGCAGACCTACTAAATTCGTATGCGTGACCTGTGGTTACCAGGGTGTGGCCCGAGGTCTGGAGCTTTAGTTAGGCTTGCAGATTACTCTTAGTATAACTTGCAATGGCTTTTTTTGAGGCTATAATGGAAATGAGCATATAGCATAATCCATAGGTGGCACAAATCAGTATTTCTGTTCTGCTTTCAGAAGGCTAATTTTGCTGCAGATAATTTTTTCGCTGCTTGTGTTTTTCACTGCCTAGGAGCTGCGAGACTCCTTGCTGCATAGCGATTATTATATATTCAAGGGGCTCTGCAGGCAGTATGGTGGGTATTATGAATTAATGTCAACTGGGAATATGCTAAAACCAGGTACATTGAGCTTGATTTGGCTGGGGAGCTGAAAGGGTTAAAAGATTTTGGAGACGGCCTCGCGTGCACCTGTTCTGTGAATGGAAAAGACTCCTGCCTCCATCGCTGTCAGCCCTCATCACGCGGCTCACTTTTAAGAGAAGAAGGGCAAACCATCTGCTCCCACTCCTAAGTATCCCTGCTTTCACAACCTGCTTTTCCAGCAGCTGCAAACTCCTGAGTTTGGGAGCAGAGGGCTCTGAAAGGCTTGGCTGTGTCAGGCCGGTTGTAGTGCTGCTATGAGGAGACATGGGAGAAGGCACGTACCTGTTTGCTGTGGTAAAATCCATTCTTGTTGCAGTTGGGCAAGTAGAATTTGTAAATCTCCCCCCCGCTTCTCTGCTGAGCCTTCGCCAGTTTATACAGGGCTCTGTAGAGCTCCTTCTGACAGGGTCCCTGCAAGAACACCACGCAAAGGTCAATACCAAAATCACAAAGAAACCAGCTAAACAAAAAGTGATCAGCGTAGAGGTAGCAAAAAGCTGGAAATACTTATTAGTCATATAATCTGCACCCAGGCTGCTTTGCATGCAGTTTTTTACTTTTTTTCAGTCGGAGCACAGCCAGAAAACTCTGGTGTTGCATTTAGGCCTTTGTTTTTATTCTTTGAGGTATTTTTTGTCCTCAGAAACATGAGGATTTAAGACCTTAAATTGCCACACAAGGAAATTTAACCTGTACTAAGTAAACACATTACAGCTCAGAGGGTACAATCTCTCCTATTATGGGGAGGTGCATGTTAGGAGGCTGGTGTACGTGAGACTAGCCACATTTTTCTGGGTTGCCATGGCCGTGTGCTCTGTTGATGTATGGCAAATAGGTGCAAGGCTTATACAGATGATGCAAGAACAAACATCTGAATGTTTGTTATCTTTTGTACAGGACAGAGCTGTCACCAAAGCAGAATAGAGAGCACCCCTGTGGCTCTGACACCCAGACCCAATGTGCCTACAACTGGAGATGAAGAACTGTTTGCAATATTCACTGTTTTCACAATTTGCTCGTTCCTTTTTTCAAAGTCATAATGGTCGCAATGTTAATAGTACCTAATGTGTTTAAACGAGTGAAAGGGGCAAAGTGACCGAACAAATATTTTTACTTTAGAGTGAAAATAATCATAAGCTCTGCTTTTGCAAGACCTCCCTGTGTCAGCCCCTCACATAAGTGGTCCTGTTCAAGTCAACGGACTTGTCTGTGGCTCTGGGTGAGAAAAGCAGAAGCCTAAAAATCAGAACTGGTGCTCACAGCACTTACATATAATAGTTCAAACTAAATCAGTGATTAAGTCCTGTTCTGGATGTGGAATGAGCTTTCCTAAGGTGTGGTTGTGGTTAGTACGCTTTTTCGCCTTTTTTTTTTTTTTTTTTTTTTTAGAGTGAAAATAATCATAAGCTCTGCTTTTGCAAGACCTCCCTGTGTCAGCCCCTCACATAAGTGGTCCTGTTCAAGTCAACGGACTTGTCTGTGGCTCTGGGTGAGAAAAGCAGAAGCCTAAAAATCAGAACTGGTGCTCACAGCACTTACATATAATAGTTCAAACTAAATCAGTGATTAAGTCCTGTTCTGGATGTGGAATGAGCTTTCCTAAGGTGTGGTTGTGGTTAGTACGCTTTTTTGCCTTTTTTTTTTTTTTTTTTTCATTTTGTCTGCAACCATGACAGAGCTGGTCTTCTCTGGTGCCCGTGGAGGGGTGTGCTGGGGGTGGGACGGGTCTCACTGCGGTTCTCTGGTGCCCTCACGTGGAACACAGACCCGCTTGCAAAGGCCCCACACCCCCACGGCCCACAGCGATTTTGCAGGTAAAAGCTTACTTTAATTTTTGCGCTTTCTGTCTTTTTACATTCATCTACTTAATAGCATTTCCTTATGATCAGAAAGAAACATCTTTTGGTTTACTGTATGCAAGGACTGCCTTTTATTCCACTGAGCATTGGACCAGTGACAAATGTCTTATTTTTTTAACTAAAACACGAAAGGAATCCAAGATTTTAACATGGCCTCCTGGAAACTAAGGGTTCATGTTATAATCTGATCGTAAATACACGGAGAGATTCAGCCTCTGCATGGAGTCCATATAGGATATATCTGATCCATCTGATGCACACCTGTTTTTATCACTCCTGCCATTTTGCCTGTTCCCCAAGCATCTGTGAAGGCATTCCAAAAGTCTGTTTGCTGGCTACCCAAAATACTGACATCCCAGTGTTGCTTCTAGAATCGTGCACACGTTTTCATTTTGCATTCTGAAGCAACAGCGTCTACTGAAATGGTCTCTAAAAGGTTTGCAAAGAAAACCGACCTGCTCTTTCCATTTCTTGAGTTCAGATAGTCTCTTTGCTTTCATGTTTTCATATGCAGTGATGGCATTCCAGGGAATGGATTTGTCCTGGCCGATGGGAAACATCAACTGATAGTTCAGCAGCTGATCGTGTGTCATTTCAGTACTTTCCAAAGGTATATCCTCAGGTTCGATAGACTCTGGAGAAGAATGATACTAAGGTGAATATCTTCAGTGAACTTTTGCATTTATTTCTCCAAGTTAAAAAGGTAAAGAAAAAGAAGAAGAATCAACAACAGAAAAAAAAAAAAAGGTAATATCTAAGCAGATCCATTGCAGTAGCTTTTGCAGGAGTAATAAAATACATGTGCAGCACAGCAAATTAAACTTTTGTTATAAATTCATATGGAGATGCATCAGCTGTTCTCCAACAAGTGGTTATTTTATGATCCTCCAAAATCACTCTAATCCCAAAGATTTGGCTGCAGCCCGTCTGTTAGAAATTAAAAAACTTTCTTGACCACAATGGATTGCAAAGACTTTGCTAAATGAGGAAAGGCTGGAGTTAAACTTGTAATGAATTTAGATTTTTGTCAGCATGATGTGATTCAGTTTTTATTCAGTAAAGGAGCTGGTCCAGACCTGATCCCGTGGCATCCTTTGTTTTGTGGCTTGCCTCACATATAAGAAGGGGTATCAATTCAGAGGAGCCAGCAGCTCATGCTGCCCTGCAGTGGACCAGGGAACAGCAGAAACTCTTTGGATCTGCCTGATCATGGGAGACGTGCGTGATCTGGCGTGCTGACTAGCGTGCGTGAACTCTCCAACTAGAAGCAACAGAAGCTCTTTCCCATTGCAGGGACTCATCATGGGATAAAAGCTTGACATGTGTCTAAACTTGTTGGATGAAAGCTGTAAACAATCATTCGATGGACTAGCAAACACGTGTTTTTCACTTTGAGAACGTTTAAGCTAAAATGGAGGTGGAAAATTGAGGAGGGGAAGAGAGAAAGAGAAAAGAAGGAAGGAAGGGAGAGAGGGAGGGAGGGAGGGAGGAAGGAAGAAGGAAAGAAAGAAAAGTAAGTCAAATACTAACAGCAGGAGCCTTAAACACTCAATTTAGTCACTGTTCTCTCCCTGTCCCGCCCCCTGAAGTACAAGAGAAACTCCACTCACTGCCACCAATGGTCATTGTTATTTTGAATCAACAACGATTATTTTTGTAATCCTACTGAGTTACCTTAATCACCCCTGCATGGACATAGCATACTGTTGGTAGTAATGATAACAACAACAAATTTGTAAAATAATGAAATTAGTTTAACTGAAGATATATATTAACTGAAGAAGCGTAAGATGCTTGATAAGTCTTTTTGCTCAAAGCCAGTTTAGCTAGCACTGTACTACTTCAGCTACATTTTATTCTTGAAATGAAGCAGGGGACAAAGCCTGTTTAGGTCTTTTCAGTCTCTATCATGACTTTTGGAGATGGACATAAACAAAGTCTAGAAAATATTTGTCCTACTCTGGTTACTGTTTACTACTAAAGAAAAACTGTGTATAACTTCCCAGAAACCTTATTCTGATTATTCTGCACCGTCCCATTACTATGCTGTAGGGTTTTCCCGCTTGCTGCCTGTGGCGTACCAGCCTGCTGCCAGCAGCACAGAATCATAGAGTCATTCAGGTTGGAAAAGACCCTTGGGATCATTGAGTCCAACCATCTACCCCACTCTACAAAGTTCTCCCCTAACACCATATCCCCGAACATCACATCTAAATGACTCTTAAACACATCCAAGGATGGTGACTCAACCGCCTCCCTGGGCAGCCTATTCCAGTGTCTGACCACTCTTTCTGTGAAAAAACTCCTTCCTAATGTTCAGTTTAAACCTACCTTGTTGGAGCTTGAAGCCGTTCCCTCTTGTCTACCACTAATTACCTGTGAGAAGAGACCAGCACCAACCTCTCTACAGTGTCCTCTCAAGTAGTTGTAGAGAGTGATGAGGTCTCCCCTCAGTCTCCTCTTCCTCACACTAAACAGTCCCAGCTCCTTCAATCGCTCTTCATAAGATCTATTTTCCAGGCCCTTCACCAGCTTCGTTGCCCTCCTCTGCACTCGCTCCAGCACCTCGATATCTCTCTTGTATTGAGGTGCCCAAAACTGGACACAATACTCAAGGTGTGGCCTCGCCAGTGCTGAGTACAGGGGGACAGTCACCTCCCTACTTCTGCTGGTCACACTATTTTTGATACAAGCCAGGATGCCATTGGCTTTCTTGCCCCCCTGGGCACACGCCGGCTCATATTCAGCCGCTTGTCAACTAGAACCCCCAGGTCTCTTTCTGCCAGGCAGCTCCAGCCACACTTCCCCAGCCTGGAGCGCTGCAGGGGCTTGGTGTGGCCCAAGTGCAGAACTTGGCACTCGGCCTTGTTGAAGCTCATGTTGGCCCATCCATCCCGTCTATCGAAGTCTCTCCATCTCTCCAGTCTATCTGATCTCTCATCCCCTGGCTCCGCACCAGGGCGCGTCTCACCTCACGCAGGTCAGAGCACGTTTTCCTGAAACACACAGTCCGTCTTTCCCGTTTTTCAAACTCCCGCCTAACTCGGCTCACTTTTCCTAACGCCCAGCGCCCGCAGCGCCCTCCCTGGCGCCCGGCGCGTCCCGCCGCCGCTGCCCCTGCGCGGGCGCGGAG